GCACGACGGCATCCTCACGGTTGTGGACCGATTGAGTAAGTACGTGCGTTTTCTTTCTTGCAAGTACTACTCCACGGCTCCCAAGTTGGCACGCCTTCTGCACACTGGTTGGATTTGTGGCCACGGTGTATCAGAAGACATTGTCAGCGACCGCGACACTCATTTCATGTCGGCATTTTGGACTGCTCTCATGCATGAGTCTGGCACAACAATGAAACCAAGTTCGGCTCGGCATCCACAGACAGACGGGCAGAAGGAGCGGGCACATCAGACCGCTCAAATGATGCTTCGTACGCTCATCCGTCCGGACCAGAAAGATTGGGTTGACCGCCTCCCCGACATCGAGTTCGCCTACAACACTTCGGTGCACCCGGCAATCGGCGTGACTCCATTCGAGTTGCACCACGGTGGACGGAAAGGCCGTATCTTCGCCGACCTTCTCCTCCCTCGACCAGCCGACATTGACGCCACTTGCTCTCCTGCTTCCGTCCGGAAGTACAGGGAATTGCTGGCTCAAGCCCGCGCAAACATGCAAAAGGCTCAAGTCCGCATGCAGCAGCAAGCCAACAGGCGTCGCATGCCATGTCCCATCCGCGCCGGTGATCGAGTTTGGGTCTCTGCGGAAGAGTTTGCATTGGGACAGGATGTTTCACGGAAACTGCTTCCCAAGAGGTTTGGACCTTGGTCTGTGACATCAGTCGCGAGCGATAAGCCCGATGGCCCTTCATTTGTGATCAACATTCCCGAGCATCTTACGGTCCATCCAGTCTTTCATGCGTCGAAGCTGGCAACATATACACCAGCTAAGAGCAACCACTTCCCGGGCCGATGATCGCAGGACCCTCCATCTATGGATGGTCATCAGGAGGTTGACCGCTTCATCTTGGATCGCAAGTACGGCAGCAAGCCACGCCACTACAAAGTTACATTCAGAGAATTGGATCCCGACGACACAGTGGATTTCAGGAGCAGATTTGAAAGCATCCGCACTACGAGCGACAGAGGTTAGCCAAGGGACCTCCACGACCTGCCCCTCCCACCCGGACTGTGGTCCCTCCCTCAGACAGACAGCTTCGCCCTCGCAGGTAAGCTCGATCTTTCAAGGAGGGGGGGGTGTGGCAGACTGCGTAGCCACATGGGCCCTGCAGGGCTTGTCCCGGACTTTCAGCCTAAAAGCCTAAAACTTAGGGCTTACAGGCCACGGTCGTTTCAGCGTGAATGCTGAAATACGAGGGTCTGCAGGCCCTATTCCGTTTCAGCCTATTTCTAGGCCTTTCAGGCCCAGAGGTTTTTCAGCCTGAAACGGAGGGCCATTTTCAGGCCCTCATTGTTTCAACCGCCCCTAAGACTCAGGCACGAAAACAGGGTTTCGGGAACAGGCCGGAAATAGCCTGTTCCCCACGCCAGCTCGAGCAGGAGCTGCAGCTGCAGCCCCTGCCTCCGATCGGCATTGGCAAGAGCAGCCTCCTGGACTGCTCGCTTGCAGTCAGGAGGCACCCGAGTAGTACATAGGGAGTTCCCATGCACTTCACGGGTAGGTAGTTGTCAGTAGGCACAGGTAGTCTTCATGATTCAGCCGCAGCGCTCAGGAGGAGCGATGCAGTAGTCTTCAGCGSTAGGCAGTAGTGGTAGTGCTAGTAGTAGTCTTCGGCGCTGGGCGCCCATAGMCATAGCTGTAGTCTTCAGCGCTGGGYGCTATAGGGATAGGGTAGCAGTATCGGAGAGAGACACTGGCGGAGACCAGTGGTACTTATCTGTGGCGCCATCACTCCAGCTCCATCTTCGGCGTACCTGCATCAAGGCGCCAACGTTACAGGTTAGCACTGGACTTAGAGAGAGAGAGAGAGACCTTCTTCTTCCTCTTCTAAGTCCACCATCTCTTCTTCCCCTCTCGCCGCCTACTTCTCAGTATCTATGGACTACAAGAGAGAGCTTTGACATGAGACTCAACGACATTGGACTCAGACTTGACTTCGGGGTTCAGACATTCGATGAGGATTATTTGGGATCTGTACGGCAGACCTGGGCTGACGACATCTCCCATCTACTCCTCCCCTCTGTCTCTTCCCCTCCTCTTCGTCTGTGTATGACTGGGACTGGCGCTATCTATTCTGAGCACCAGCCCCTTCACACCATTGTACGATGATGATGTATGTCGAGACTACATTGCAACATTGATTGTGTCGGATCATTGGTATCTAAAGTCTTCCGCTTCGCCATTTGTACTTTGTATGAGAGGTTGGTTCTTGTTCTGTCTTGCACGATACAATATGCAACAGCGGAGGAGCAGCGTCTGGAGAGGGGGAGAAAGGAGGATAGGGATTGCCATTCCAATCCTACTCCTCCGTTCCCTTGCAATCCTGACCCTTTTACTCCCCCTCCCAGCGATGCTACTCCTCCCCCTCCTCGTGATCCTGATTCTCTTGCTCACCCTTCTTGATATCCCGTTCCTCCTCCTCCCGAATGTCGATCCTCCTCTTCCCCCTGCTCCCGATGCCAATCCTCATGCTCCACGTTCTTGCAGTCATTGTCAACAACGCTCTTATAGGATTGATCCTTGCGATTGAGATATATATTGTCACAAGAATATCAGAGCACAAAAGCGAAAAAAAGGAAAACGAAAGAAAGAAAGAAAAGCAGAAAAAATGAATTCATTTTTTTACCTTCTTCCTCATAACTCTCCCTGTTTAGATCCTCTTGCGTACAAGGCCGCCCACGTGGATGTAGGTTGAGCTGAGTGCAAGGAAAATAAGCAACAGCGAGATGACAATCCCAGATCACACCATCATATTGCAAGCCAAATAGTCACACCGTGTCCAGAGAGCAGCATTGCACCAATAATACACCAATGGAGGTTCATAGCACTGAAAACCAATGTCCATGGAAAGCATACTTTCTCCTCTCTACACAAGAGTCCAGTTCCTTCACACTCACACTTGGCGCTCAGTGCCCATCCTACTTCTACACAGCTACTACAAACTACAAAAAGACAATGCAACTGTTGACATCAGCAGCAGCCCGAAGTACTTGAAGATTCCGCCCATGCAGACCACTTCCAATACAAGGTACACGCCCTCACATCATCATCATCATCATCATCATCATCATCCTTCACCTATCCCCTGACTTCACCCACACCTGTCCTCTCTGTCACCCGAAGGCCACCCTTGCGCCTCACTGTAGTCCAAGCCCACCAGCTATGGTGGCTGGACTATGGCGCTGCCCTCAGCAGCCCCCTCTTCCTCGGCACGGCCTCACGTGTTGCACCTCGCCTCTAAGCGCCAGCCAGCAGCCGTGAGCCTTTGCTCCAGCAGCGCTGCCGCTAGGCATGCGAGTGCCTGAATGAGGCGGCCTGCCCAAATCTCTTTCCTTTATGGAAAGAGTTKGGCTGCTCTCGCAGCCTGGCTGGGCTGGCCTATGCCCAGAAGCTTCCAAAGGGCCCAGGAGGCTGCCTGGATGCAGCAACTACTGGGCTGCTGGGCCTCGTTCGGTTGGGCGCCCAACTGTCTCTGTATGAGGCTGCGAATCACGCCCAGGGCCTGCATTCTTTGGAAAAGCCCGGAGGCCGAGGAAATGTCTGGGTTGCTCGGCCTGTGTTTCTCTCAACCAACTGGCGCGTCGCAACTACCTTGACCCCAAATATGAAATTGACAGTCGAGGGCCTTTTGCAAGAAGCCAGGCCCGCCTTCACTTAGGGCGGGCACCTCCACCTTCACTTAGGGCGGGTAGTGCTGCTAACAAGGCCCCGTAGGCCTACAGAGGACCTTGATCCTCACATTCCCTCCTCCATTACTTTGTGAGTCCTCTGAGAAGTCTCTCATTCTGCAGGCATCTTTCCCTTGAGTGCTCTTTCATAGCCTGCAATCACTTGAGGTGCTGTTGTCATGAGTTCTTCTCGTGTGAACCATCGATCTTCTTTAGGATCGAGATGATGTCTGAAGCTCACACCATACTGCATTCTTGATTTTGGAGGTCGTCCTCTACCTGATGGTCGAGGAACAGGCATCACTCGATGCTCGACGATCTGGTCAATGTCCACTTCGCCATCCATGGTTAGGGGCAGCATAGATCTTCGAGAGGGATACAGATCTGTGGCAGCATAAGGTGTCAGTTTGGAGGCGTGGAAAACAAGATAAGTCCGTAAGTGTGCAGGGATGCGAATCACATATGAAGGCCCATCGGGTTGATCTCCTACAATATCTAAGATCTCCCAGGGCCCAAAGTACTGAGGCATCAACTTTCTTGAGATCCCTATCTCCTGTCYCAGTTCAGATGATTTCACCGAGACTCTCTCACCTACCTGAAAGTTAGAAGGTCGTCTATGTTTGCTCTCAGATGCAATCATAGCATCCTGAGACTTCAAAATGTGTTCTACGGCCTGCTGCAGCATCTAATCATACTTGACAGCAAATTCTATGCTGCCAGGTGCTGCAATGGGTTGTCTTTCTGGTAACAGAAAGTCAAGCGCAGATCTTGGCTTCCAACCAAGATGTGACTGGTTGGGAGTCATATCGGTTGTGCTGTGCACAGCATTGTTGTACAGGCTGGCGACGAGAGGTAACTTCTTGTCCCAGTCATCCTGACTTGGCTTAATATAATGCCTAAGCAGGTGATGCACTACCCGGTTCATATGTTCTGCCTGGCCATTTGACTCAGGGTGATTCCCTTACGTCATTTGAAGCCTTGTGCCCATTTGTTCAGCAACGGATTGCGACAGTTCACTTGTAAACCTGACATCCCTATCACTAACAATAGACGTAGGTAGACCGAAGTCCCTTACCCAATTGTCCATGAATAGTTTGATGAC